AAGCCTAAAACTTGCAGTGTCATCTGCTTCTAGGCCCAGTTTTGTCTAATTTGTAAAGTGATCGGTTGAGATCATCGCTCGAGTGTTGTGTTCTCTCTCGCAGCGTGGGTTGTATTCACGATATCATGATATTTATAATATTGTTTTAGAATTAGCTTCATTGGCTAAACTTTTCTGTTACTTCATCCAACTATTACCATACCTACGTGTCACTGCTGAACAACATTCAGAACGTGTCATCACAGTTTTTTCATGATGCAGATTTAACTAACGTGTGCTAGATTGTCATTGGACAGCATAAAGAAATTGAGAGGACAAAAAAATACTGGAAAGGTTTTATTAGGGGAGGTTATGAAAAAAGTGATACAACTGGCGCAGGAGATAACGGGTCGAGATATGACTTCGGAAACAGATTTAATACCACTTGATTTTAATGGCCAACGCACGAATAAAGCTCCCTCGAAGGTTCTACGGAAGTGGAAATACTCAATGAAAAAATATCAATATCAACAAAAAGTGCGTCGACTAATAGCTTTCCTTCGGTCAAGTTCTACTCATAATGACAATGCTAATTATTGCAGATTTCGATGTGAGCTATTGGTGCGTTGTTGTTTAATACGATGTCATCCTATTGGTCCATTAAGTCCTATAAGTCCATTGAGTTAATTCGAATAAGCTCAACGTAAAATAGACTAGAGTTAATATATTATCTTTCCTGTTTTGTATAAAGGAACGCTACTAGTATCTTAGAATTCTAAAAAAAATGATTGATCTCCTTCGCTTATTGAAATCTTATTGAAATAGAGAGCCTCGCGGGTGTCATCCAAGTACTAGCCATTTAAAGACAATGCCGCGCACTTACTATACGAAATTTAGGCTACGTGAAGAATGTATCCTGCCGCATTTGCTCACCTTGCTTTAAGTGACCCAACTGATATGTGCGCAAATAAATTTGCAGCCTTAAGAGTGACTGTTCTGCTGTTTGCTCTATGAGGAAGATATCATTCTAAAATTCGATCTACATCTTGCTCTAACATCGCTCTAAGTGCGCTGAGACATTTAAGCTAAACCACTTAAACATGCATCTAGAGGCAGCATATGATTCCAAAAAATCATCTTAGAGACTGTCTGCTATTCTAAGAACCTTCTAAGAACAATGGATAGTCAAATAACAAAATGTATGTATTGATGTATGGCTGATAGTCAAGTGTGAACTGCGAAGTGGTTCAGTAGGTTTCGCAGAAGAAACATCTTTATAAATAATAATCGATGTACTACTTTCAGGACCTCTCAGCGTGATGATTGCCTTGATCGTTCAGTGGTATATAAACTACGTTGATTTACAGCGCAAGATTCGTTATGAGAAAGGAAAAATTTAATTCACTTTGTCTGAAGACACATGACCCACATGTCTAGGTCGTATACATAGTAAGCCCGGTATATTCAAAAATTCAACCAATCAATTCATGGAAGCACTCAAAAATAATCAAAATAGCCATGAATCTATCATTTCGTGATGTATAAAATTGCTGTGTATGTAAGTTGTAAAAATTTTCTGTGTTATTTTTTTATTATTTGTTTTATTGCATTAGATGCTACTTTTCTTGAAGTCAAAGAAAAGGTTTTCTTGCAATATACAACACTTGCAACATCAACAAACAAAGCATTAGGAAGAATAGCGATAACCAAAGTTCGTAACAATTATATACTCCATAGATCATTAATTTTCTTCTTGATTGTACAATTAAACAATGCGTTCTTTCGGCTTTTTATGAGCCCCTGAATTTATATCCGGTCGACCGTTATACGATCATGCAGGTAGTAAAAAGTTGAAATCAAGCTTTAGGATTAAATATCGAGTTTGTTATAACCATTAACACGTTATATTACAAAACAAACGATATTAATACTGTTGTGAGGAATCAATTGTTAAACAAATCAGCAAGGCTATGGAAACGTTAAAGAAGAACGCGGACAAAAGGGTCATGCACACACTTCGGAGATCAGAAGAAGTCAAATGTAGTGTAACTTACAAACAGAAGTTAAGAACTCAAGTTATTACAAGTGTTCTAGATTATTTTTCTAAATTAATTTATATAATTTTAGATAGATTTCCATAACGCTTCTCTTTTCGCCCTGCTACGCTACTAATTATTTTGCAAACTCAAACATGGTTCCTTGTTGAAATACTAACGTTAAAATAATAAATATCTCCTTTGCCGCTTTCATCACTCTATTCATGATTTACCAATCACCTTTACATGCTCTTTCTCTATCTCCTCCTTCATATCTCGTCACAATTTAAACCTCAGAAAATCGTATAGCGTATAATGTTCGCTCACAAAGGTCGCCGAGATTATACGGCGAATATTTTCACTAGGCTCAAAGTATTTTCTGATTGCAATTATATATAGTGAAGGGAGCCCTTGTCCATTTAGATATCAAAAATGCAGCTTGAATTCCGAGGAATGGGAAAGCTATACGTCTCCGAAGTTTTCACACTTGAACCTCTTCTGTTCCTCCTCCTTATTCGGATATCTGGAGATGTTATTTAAGGGCTGTAGCTTTGCGATACCTTGATCAATATGAGCAAACTGAACTGCGGTGGAAAGCATTGTCTCTAGCGATGTCTAATTCAACCACTGGATTTTTACCTGACAGAGGTCCGTCGTAAAATCAACGTTCTAGTTTAACTTCAATCCAAAATATTTAAATATATGTTTTACGTACGGTACGACTGTTTATTGATTAACTTCTAACACGGAAGACCATGAGTTTACGTCCCTGTTTCGAGTTTCAAGCACGTGGTCTATAAGTTTAGTAGGCAGACGCATGGACCCAACCCGAAATCACAGAAAAATCGCACATTGCCGGGAAAGGCAGCGAGTGTATAGAACATTAGCAAAGTCACAGAATAGCAAAATTGTTCTCGCAAACGAACATCTGATGTCCTAAGGACATATCAGCTTTAAAAGTTACATTACAATGTACAATGGAAGTTCGATGCAGCTTTCCCGAACCTAATTATATAGAAAATCACTTCTTTTCTGAAATTAGAAAAGCAATGCCGGATAAATGAAATCGTTGTATAACATAATGGATTTAAATATAAGCAAATACAAAGGTGTATTTCAATTCATCGCACAGATGGTAAATCTAATTTGAAAAAATCAAATGATTGGAAAATGAAGCGAAAGGAAGATATCAGTAGAGTTTAAGCGCATAAAATGATATTGCTATTTTTTTCCCTATTTTTATAGTATTTATAACCACTGAAACGTCAAAGTATGGCATTACATTAAAGACACGATGCTACAATATAGTTATGTAAACTACTGATATCAGGCGACCCCTTGTGCGCAGGTATGGTTCCCACATCTTAAGTAAGAGTAATTATGTAATGTTTGTTCATTATACACATTTTATTACACTTCGTCTAACTAAATGTTGGTCTTTAACGAATCTTTTCGGCGAGACATAATGTCGCTTGTGAACTAATTGAAAAGCCGTAGCGACAACGACTTACCACGAAGCTCTCTATGAACAGACATGATACGCTCGCAGACATAAATCTCTGGAGATGCTAAACGGTGGCTCAATAAATCATCGCTCCGTGCCAAAATAGGTAAAAGTCTGTAAGACTGTAAGTGTGGCTAAAACTAACCACGAGTTAAAAAAAAAATCGAATCTTTCATAGGGGCTTGGAGTACTGAGTTTTTTAAACAGACCAGGCAGTCCGGTAAAAAGATGAAGCAATGCAGACTAGTGCAAAAAAATATGGAAGCTATCTCGACTGAGACCCCGAAAGACCGGATACGACTTCGGTCGAACATCCTTTTAGATCATGAAGTTAGCGCCGTCTTGGTTAATGAATGACCGTTTATGGTCTGTAAAATATGTAGCGAAAAATTGCTCATTAAGATTATTGGACTGAATCGCCTCAGTATACAACAATTACAGAAAATTAGTAAAATCGGGTCTAGTTTCATTTACAAAAGGTGAAATATGACATCGATACAGACTATAAATCGTCCACTTTCTGAAATAATATCTTGAGAACATCAGGCGTTACTACATAAAGGACAAACAGCGCATAGTCTTGCACATAGTGGATATCTCTTTCGACATTTAATGTTGTCGTGTATCGCGTTGCCGATAGAGTTCGGGTGAGAAAATCTTTCCGTACGTTGTTCGTTGTTTCCAATTATAATTACAATAAAAGTATACATTTTGTTATCGGCGCATTAATTTTCTATTTGTTTATTCTACTTATGAAAATAGTAACATCAGTGATTTTCTTCATAAATCGTGTTTTTTTTAAAAGGTGGGTGGCTCTGGTTTAATGGTACTTTACAAGGATGTCTTGCCTGAACGCTAAGTGATCATTCTTTTACCAGTGGCCCTGGCGACGGCGCCTGCGCTTTCGCGAAAGCGGTAATAAAGCCAAAGATACCATATTATTACAGTGATATTAATAATCTAGAAGAATCACGGCAGACTCAAAGTGAGATATGATTTCGTACCTCTAACGCTGCGCAGTATTTCATTTCATATTCTTTATTGGTCAAAATATAAATTTGGGAATGACAAGCTAGACTGAAAAATGTTTAACGGATCGTAAAGTATATATATATATATATATATATATTTCGTACCTCTAACGCTGCGCAGTATTTCATTTCATATTCTTTATTGGTCAAAATATAAATTTGGGAATGACAAGCTAGACTGAAAAATGTTTAACGGATCGTAAAGTGTATATATATATATATATATATACACTTTACGCGAAATACTGCGCAGCGTTAGAGGTACGAAATATATATATATATATATATATATATATATATATATATATATATATATATATATATATATCATAAGATGACCAAATAAGAGGTATTAGTTATTTAAAAGTGTCTATATGATAAATAAAATAATATACTTGGTCTATAATAAATAAATTTAAAAGCATGTTTACATTTGTCCATATTCAATTCCATGATGCTATGTGACGATAAAACCTGTACTACCAAAGTATCGCTAGAGTGTGCTAATTAAGGGTTTTTCAGAGAAGCATATGCACCTTAGTATTCAAGAAAGCTGTCTCGCACTTTCCAAATCATGGTTTATCATTTCGATGCGCACGCGCACACGATATGGTATACGGATGAAAAAAATCAGTTCCTGAAACTATGGTTTTTATTTAGTGATTGCTGTAATATTTCATTTTTTTCCTACTTGCCGATTTGGTAAATAATTAGAACTTTTTTAGATATTTCGAAGTTTAGCTTTTCAAGTTGGTTTCTATAGAGACGCAGAAATAGATATAGGATCCGTCTTAATTACTTAGTCTTTCCAGTGAAGTTGAATTTGTTAAAATCGATTGAGATAACGCAGAGTTATGGCCTCTAAACTACACGTTCTGGTATATATAGGGGACTTGGACATGCGAACTTCAAGAAGCGAAGAAACGCTCCAAGATTGCTCGAAGTTACTTGGATCCCATTTTTGTGGGCAAATTGGTACGAGTTTTCGTTACAATATGGCGTCGAAATGCGGGCAATCTAGTCCAATTCAAACATTTTGCCACGCAACCTTGGAATTTTCCGTCGAAAAAGTAAAATATATATTGGGTTGTCGAAAAAGTTTTTCTAGTTAGATGACTTTCAAATTATATATCTCAGATTATATGAGCCGCGTCGGGTACTGGTCGGCCATTTTAAAGCTGAGATATGGCAGTAGTTGATGTTTTAATATCGTTGGAATACCTTGATTTACACTTAGGGTAGAGCGCCTTGAACATTAATAAAAATTCGCTGTTTTCTACAGTCCCATTACGACAAAGGCACAGTGCTTTTCAGACTCGTAAAAAAATGCTCTTTGTGATCAATATGCGTTACCAAAAGAAAAGGCCTAAAGATAATTCAGCCGTGTTCGAAGTTTCAATGTGAAAAATGGTAGACCAATCACGAAAAAGGTTGATAAAATCATTGCAAAAGTAGAGCAAGACTGTCACATGTGTAGCCATAACGACGCCGAGAAACATCCGCCACTAAGGAGCTTTAAACCATTTGAAGAAAACTGGTTACAAAAAGAAGCTCGATGCTTGAGCGCCACACGAATTGACGCAAAAGAAATCATTCGATTATATTTTCATTGGCAAAAGTCTACGGAAACGTAACGAAATCTAACTATTTTTAAAACGAGTACTCACAACTAATAAAAAATGGATCACATAACAATAATGTACACCAAAATCTGTGGCAGAATTACGCTATGCGTTTAGTGGGATGGGAAAAGGTGCATGCATTTCAAGTTGCAACAGAACGATTGATTCGGATTTCTATTACCAACAACTTACAAGATTACAACAAGCCATTGAAAAAAATCAACCGTAACTAGTGAACAGAAGGGACGTCGTCTTCCACCATGACAATGCCGGACCACATACATCTTTAGCTACTTGGCAAACATTGAGAGAACTTGGATGGGAAATTTTGGCACCCTTCGACAACCCAATATATGGTTGTCGAAACCAAAGCTGGTCATTGACAACATCAATATAATAAAACACTCGACGTAGTTCCTCTCTCATATACATATAAGAGCAGTCTCTATTGTTTTCATGATAATATACTTGCACCTATGTATAGGCGTATTGTCGAAAAAATTTTGGTCGACAGATACACAATGATGTCATTGTAGACATTCTTTAGGCATTTCTTAAAGATCTATCACTATATCATTTACATATGCACTTAATACATGCGCGATCAGTACACACTTAAGTAACACCACACACTTGATACATTTAACTTCATATCTTTGTAGTGCACCTATGTAACATTTGTATGTGTGCGATTTCTGCTTTCATTGAAGGCTAGACTCACATAAGCTCGAATATTTTGCAACAACATATTGAGAAAAAACATCAATGTTTCGAAGAAGTTATTGTCACCGATTTTGTGAAAATCCTTATGGTATCAATATGCATGCACATTAATTAAACATTATGTTCTTGTTCTCCTAAATGTAATTTTTTTTCTTATTTATAGCTCCGATACCGTCATCTATTCAATAATGAGTGGTCATGTTATACACTAATGACGCTACACATATTACTTGCTAGAGAGAAGGTGGGGATGCAGTTTCAGACATTGTGTCAGGACTATTAGATTGACGCGGACCCGGTACTGCACGAAGATCATCAGCAGCCTCGCTTTGACGACTCGGCGTTTCCGGACCTGTTAAAGAGGTATTGAAAGCTCCGAGAGTACTGCCCAGGTAAGCCAAAGTGTTGGCCATTGATGCTTGCACTGATTGTGAGTCATTCAATGTTGAGTTTGGTAGTTCATCAGATCTTGATGTTGGCGCCATCCGGTTGAACTGAGGGGTGCTTAGCGTCACTGCAAAATCCTGGGGTGCGCTACGTCGGGGTGCTCTCCCCAGACCGTGGCGTCGCTCCTGTAAATTCACAATCATTAAAATCGTTAATTATCAAACCTTCTGTAAGTTGCATTCGTTCTCACATAACCATTTCAGGATGGAACAAAAAAAAATGTATGATAGGGAATATTTAATAATTTTTGTCGTACAGCCTAGCTACGTTTGTAAAAGCTTAAGGTCCTACGCACCGCAGCATTGTTAGGAAATATCACAAAAAGGTTTAGGAGTAAGTGCAAATTCAATTTCACTTACACAGGCTACAAAATATTTGACATAAGCCGATTTTATTTCAAGTAATTATATAGGTATAAAAAAAACCCGCCGTCGAGGATTTTTATTTATAGTAAAACGCGGTATAAAAACTCATTATTAAGACTAAAAACAGAGAAACAATAAATAAATTAGAACTAAGATTATTGATAACAATATAGAATAAAAACAATCAAGAAAATAAGAAGAAAAGTAACTAGGTATATTTTTTCTTATTCGTCTTATATTTCTTATTTTTCGATTTTCTCATACCGTTACTACCTATTAAGTGACCAAAATGCTTAATTTTTCTACACTTTTTTAGTACAATATTAAATCTTTTTCTACAAAAAGGCATAGCAACTTCTGTAATAGCATTACATTGTCGATGTCTTGCCATGGACAGCATAATCACATAATTAACAGACTAACTGCCATTGAGCACTTTACACCAGCGGCCTCTAATGCTGTCCTGTAGGGTACAATGATTAGCCTTAGTCTATAAAGTGCTATTAACTTCGCTTCCGCTACAAAAAATATATTCATCTATTGCAAAAGAGATCTAGACAGACTACTAACTCAAACCAAGAAGAAGTGCTGTTTAAGTACCTGATGAATCCGTAGGTTGCCTTTTTGTGAGGTGGCATAGTCACACTCAGGGCATGTAAACGGTTTTTCGCCGGTATGAATTCTCATATGGATAGTGAAGTTTGACTTGGACTTCGATGAGTACTCGCACGTTTCGCACTGAAAAGGCTTATTTAGATCACGGACAGGTTTCCGGCCCGGTTTTCCCAATCTCTTGCTCCTAGCAGCTATGTCTGATGCATTATTAATATTATTATTGTTGTTTATGTTTTTATTGCTGCTGTTGTTATTATTTTCGATCAACTCCCTAGTACTAAGGGAAGACCAGAAGGCAAACTGTTCGGTTGGTGTAAGATTGTTGATTCGAAGAAAGTTTGGTAGTGGCTGAAGAATCTTCAACTCCATATCTCCTGCAGAAACACATTTTTAGATGGACAAATTCCAGGAAAATTTCATACCTTTAGTGTGGTAGAAAAACAGCTAGAAATAATCCTACTATCCGAGCGAAAATAAATAGATTAAGTCATTCGAAAGCAAGAAAGAAGGTTCTGAATGAAAATTGGCATGCAACGGTGGTGATGGCGGTGTGCGACACAACTCCGTTCACGGGACTCCAGCAAAAGATCTGAAACTTTCTATGAAAAGACTCTTGTAAGTAGATTGCCTAATATTCTATCTCTCAATATGCTTTGCCAAAATTAGAGACAGCGAGATTCAATTGCTATCATCCATAATCACTTCATGATCTCCGGAAATCCATTTAGCCTGCTCATTAGCGTATGATATCACCAATATTAATTTTAATTAAAACAAGAATTACTACTATATAGCTTCCAAGGATTACTCAGCTATGAAAAATACTGAAGAGATTACATCGTCGGATAAATATCGGATAAATAGGAAACAAGCAAAATGTAGAGGTCTGTAAGTTTACCTCACTTGATTGGATTTACCTGAAATAAGTTCGTTAGTACAAATGTGTCACTAAATTCTAATCTGCACACCTTTATACAGATTGTAAATAAGAACACGTACACTTCGATTCCGGTTAGGATCAGCTTCGTTCCTCTATGTACAGCATTATAATTTTCCATATTTATGTAATGTCACACACTTACGCTAGCTACTTGTTGGTTTTCTTGTATAATGATTGGCTGTTTTTTTATACACATGATTATCATGCGGAACAAATCAACTCATTTCCCCTTTAACGGAGGGAGTCTTTTGGGTGGAAGCACATAAATTCGAATCATTTCGAATTCAAGTGGAGAAGGTCACTGATGAATCACAGAAAGCGGTCGATTTCAGTCGTCATTAGAACGTACCGTAACAAATACTTTTTCATTCCCTTCCAGATGCTTTTAGGTTAGATAAAACACTTTTGAGTTTATTACATCACGCCTTTGTCCACTTGTTTTCATGTACTAAAATTTTAGCAGACTAGTTAGCTCGCTCTCCGCTACTTTGGGTAAAACGTAGCAACGTGTCTCGGCAGATGTTAGTTAACGGCAGCAGAATAGTTTTTTAAGGATGGCAAGCGATCATCTATTTTAGCCGCGCATTAAACAAAAAAGCTGCTTGATATCGCACAATGTTGTCAGACAATAGCGCGCACAAGCACTCGTACACACACAGACAAACACTCACATATACACCATACACACTCTATCAGAAAAACGAGATAATCCGTCGAAGTCACCAGCCACAGTCCTCATTCTCGTCCTGTTTGATGAACAAATGCTTAGCTACTTCCCAAACAAATAATGATCCTAATGCATTATGAACGACTCCGTCGAACCTGTAGCACACGTGCAGGAACAACAAAGAAGTATCTTCTTTACAGTGCGAAAATTTACCAATCATGGCACCGCTAACACAGTGATAAGTTTGCACTAACTGCACATTAAGTGCCGATTGGGGTGCGCCGATATTATGGTGCATATTACATGTAGCTCCGTCTTGCGGGGCACGATTGTGCCACGAAAAATTGAAGTAAGCAGCGGATTGCTATAATCGTAAAATCAGAAATACAAGTAGCAATCAGCCATGGTGGCAAATATTAACGTTGCAACAGTACCTGCGGAGGCGATAACACCGGCCCCATGAACTTTATCGATGAAGAAAACAGAAATGCATCGGACAAAATCATTATTGGTATTAGTTTTGTTTAAGGAATACCTTCAAGTGCCAGATCGGTCGCTATATTCAATGGTTTGCTCAGTCAGATCATCATCATGCTGTAAGTCCCGCTTTTTCGATGCTTCATGAGCTGGCTGCCTGACTAGCTAGCTGTGAGAGTAGAAGATGAAAGAGCTGGAGTTGCTCTGGAGTTGAAACTGCCCCTGCACTACAGCACACACACACACACACACACACACACACACACACACACATGCACAAACACACACACACACACACTCAGACAGAACATGAATATCACAACAATCACGCGTAGAGAAGCAGCAGAAGTGGTTTCTATGCTCCAAAGCTTCTGCGATGCGATAGGGGCTAAATCTTTACTCGGGGATCCACGCAAGACAGGCGCCACCACTTGTTAGATCCGATACCATAGGCTCCAAATAGATGCCCTCCATGGTCGGTTATGGCGCCCTCCAAATCTAGGAGAGAGTTACGAATTCGCAAATGGCACCAGATGCAGAATCAGACCCGCTATGATGTGATGTCTGATTCGGGTGTTTTCACCGCATCTTGGTTAAGACTCGCTACACTCCCCTTTCTAAAATGATTGACCTATCTATTCTGCTGTATGTACACGCGTAAGGCTAAAACGAAAAAATAAGCATTATAACTATTCACATGGTCCGGCCAGAACCCGGTTAAATGTGTCCCCTTCCCTAAAGTGAACAGACCCATTCGGCTAGACGAGCTTGCCTACATGAGGATCTTGGGCGCCTTGGTGGGTCGCTCATTTATAATACGACTAAAGATTGCAGGGACTGCTAGAACCCATTTTCGTATATATATACTAAGATGCAACGAAACTGTATTGCTGGATCTACAAAATTTCATTGCTGTCGACAGCGTGCACTATTTCTAGAGCCATAGCGTTTGAAGTATAGTACAGGGCATGCGACCTTAAACTTAGAATGAACATTTTTCAACTTGCGTTTTAGCGTATTTATTCACTCACCGTAGGATTTCAGGTCTATTTTATAAGCTCAAGTCTTCTCATTAGAACTGGACGTACTCAAATCAAAATGTTATCACCGTAAGGTTATTCCTTTGTAAAGGTAAGGCTTGATAATTTTGCCGAAATAAGGAATAGACGCAATGCTTTTGTTTTACGTATATATTATCCTGCTGCATATTATATTTTCATAACGGTACTTGACCTTCTTTATGATTTCTCTGCAGATTAGCGATGTTAAAACAAAATATTTCAGTTCTTTCCAACGTTCAATCACCAGCTGCAGCTCATCGCTTATGTGGGCGTTCTGACAAAGCGGAGGTATTTTTTTTTAACTGCGATCTTACAAAATTGAAATGGAATATCTATTCTAAAATAAAAAAAAAACACTTTTGCTAATTTGGAATTTCTGGGGTTCACAAGTGAAGATGTAAACTATGCCATCTTGTTTCAAGCTGCTAATAGCTAAGGAAACGGTAGTTATTTCATTAAACGACAACCAGATCACTTGTATGGTAAAATCGGGCAATCGCATCGAAAAATTAATAGACTACCTGTTATTATATTTGTCCACAGCGACCCCCGTCATCAATTTGAAATCATCATTTCAGATACAATTATGGCGCTTTCTTATGCCTTTCTCTAGCTGGCAGCCGCTTCTCCTAAAGTGGCCTTAAGCGTATTTCCATACGCTGCAGTCAATAGAAAATACATTTCATTTGGTGTTAATTAAGAATCACCAAAGTGTGCCAAGAGCATTTAAAAAGGCTTGTCGAAAAAGGCGTGATACATTAGTAGTAGCACGCACTAGAGCTTAAAAACTTCGACGAAGTTAATTAATGGGTTATTCGAGAGAAGATACGTCCTTTTTTTTTTGATGGAGACGTATAACTTCTGCCAAAGAAAAATTAGCAAACAATAGCTTGCGAGGCAAATAGTTCTTACTAGGTTTCCACATGTTTTACTTCTACGATGAATTGTCAGTAATAACAACGAATGGCAAACATAAGCGCAACCCTTTAATACCTAGTGCAATCTTGAATGTAAGTCGATAAGCCTCAGTAGAACTGCCGCATGACAATTAGAACACTGTAGAGGTTGCCCTGCCTACCTATGAATGCTGTGCTAAAAAAAACCCAGGGATGTTCAGTAAAAGCTATTCTGACCATTTTTGAACCAATATCAAGTGGCGACTTCAAAGACGATCACACGATAGATTTTTGCCCTAAATATTCCAATAGATAACGTCTTGTTGCTAAAATCCAGTATCATCAATGAAGTAATGACATACGCTAGCAAAACATATCAATAATCTGTAGCGCTAGTAAGTAGTAAAGATATACATCAATAACTGCTTTAGTACAGCGAAATAGTAAACTGAAAATCTGATCGTAGACACAGAGTTGTGGCGTCGTATCTATTCGAGTACTTAAGTAAATAAAGTGGTCCATAATCTGAGATCTTGAGAGCAGTTGTTGCGATAGCCTTGTTTTCCGCATGATCCGCATACGCTGTTGCATATAAACAAACACACTCTTCGTGTGAGTATAAACTATACAGACCTCTGCTTTGCCTGTGAATCTAGCCGTTTCCAAAGCCGATTTGTTTATAGCGGTTACTTAGTTACTACGCTAAACTATTATATGTACTGTAACATTCCTTGATTTTTAGATCCCATGAAATTTTTCGAATGAATCAGGAGATAATAGATCGTAATCATGTTAAAACATACTACATCTAGCAAAAACCTTTCTTGACAATGCTTGCAGAACCGTAAACTACTAGTTGAACAAGGTCAATGAGTTAAACATGCGTCCTGTATGAATGAGGTCAATGGCCAGATTGCTGACAGAGGCGGGCCACCAAGACTGGCATTTAACCATGGCGCTGCCGGCGGCAGTTGGTACCGCCGCTAAAAAAGACAAACCCTTAGAGGTCGAAGCCTCCGACAGGAACGAGCGGCTCAAGGGATCTTAGCCTATGTCGGGAATGAGGCTGAAGCTATAAGGGTAGTGGGTAAGGCTCGCCATAAGGAACTAAGGCCGCCGGAGGAATCCGCCGGAGAGAAGCTACAAGAGTACAAAACGGAAGGAAATAAAAAAAGCTAAGCTGTGAATTTGAGGAACAACGCTATAGGTGAGGAATAGCTGGATGTACTGACCATTAGTACTGATTTAATCGGAACATTGAACACCAAAAGTCGCTTTTCTTACCTACAGGTATACCCTTTGCAACAACCCAAATCGAGTGCCTTAAGTAATTGCATAGTGAATAATCTGAAACAATTCGTTGCGTGTAGGCGTAGTAAAGTTAGCGTGTTATTCCGTTGCAAAGGTGAGTTTTATGATTAGCACATAGGCGGCAAGCACGTGAAGAACCAAATAATCATACGCAATTCATGGGAGTCATTATTAGAATCTTATATTTCAATGATCGCATCACAACACTGATAGTTGAAATAATTGTCTGTGATACACGCATACATT